CAGCCCTTTCCTGCCTGAATACTTCTCTTGCAGGTATGAATCGTAGAACAGTTTAGGTCGGAATTGAACTTTAAGATACAGTAGTCCTGTTTCTCACGGCAGAGTATGATAGATTTTGAGATTTAAAAATTCATAACATTGAGATAATATGTCAAGGATACTGCCTGTTTTGTAGTTACGTTTGCTTTTTTGATACCTTTCTAGAAATGGAATTTCCTTCTTCTTTCACTAGTACTGAAAGAGCATTTGTTCACCGGCTCTGTCAGTCTCTTGGGCTGATATCTAAAAGTAAAGGGTAAGTTGGAGTCTGATTTTTATTTATTATTTTTTTTTTTTTGGCGCAAATGTATGACTACCATTAAAATTATATGTGTTTCTGGCATATCCTGTGTTGTTACAGTGAATAGTGCTAAAGACAAAAGTTTAAAAAGTGACATAAAACCAAGGATCTTTGTGCTTTGCATTATGTCTACTATGTCTGCTAAAAAACTTGTGATGTGCTTGGTTTGAGATAGCTTGCCCTTGTTTTGTGGATTTCATGGGTCCATGAAAAAGTCTTCTTACCAAAATCTGTTCTGGTTTTCATGCACTATTGTTTGCCCAATGGTTTTGCCTTGACAGATAAAGTGTAACCTGGAGTAGCATGTCCGACGGAGTTTTTCTGTTGAGAAGTACAGAAGCATAACATTTCTTTTTCTTACCCTGCTGTGATCTTTTGAAGATAAAACCCATGTTCATTGACCTGATGAGCTTGCTTTGCAAGCTGAGAATTTGGTTCCCTTGGGAGTTCAGGTGCCAAAGCAACAGGAAAGGGAAAGTTAAAGGAGTGTTATCTATAACTTGTCTTTGTGTAAACTTTTGTAAATCCGTAGCAGCATTTGCTGCTCCTCATTTTTGGTCATACTTAATGATTCTTGCAAAAGTAATGTAAAGTGCTAGTTCAGTAAATACAGATAAGTGTATGCAGCACTGATTATGTTGAATGTGTAGGTTGGTTTCAGAAGACCTTATTCAAGTATAGTGCTGTTCCAGTGTGGTTCCAGTCTGAGTGGTATAGCTGATTTTTGCCACAGATGCTTGAGACAGTAAATTTGGCTGAACTTGCATATCTTTGCATCATAATTTGGAAATATGGAGTGTTAGAAAGACTTGTCAGATGTGTGCAGATGGTTAGCAGGAACATGCTTGGGTTATACAGTGCCTGCGCTTACAGGCTGTATAGGTGTACTAGGTAAACCCTTCTTGAATCCATCTTGATTCTTTTAGAAATTTGTAGCCATCTCTGAGTGGTTCCGTAGCAGATTCTGTAGTATTATTGTAATTGTTTACATAGACTGTCTCAAGTTGGAAGGGACCCATAAGGATCAAGTCTAAATTCCTGGTCTTTGCAGGACTACCTGACACTAAACCGTATGACTAAGATCATCATCCCTACGCTCCTTGAACTCTGGCAGGCTTGGTGGTGTGACCACTTCCCTGGGGAGCCTGTTCCAGAGACGACCATCTTAGTGAAGAACCTTCTCCTGATGTCCAGCCTGAACTTCCCCTGAGACAGCTTCTTGGTGTGACCTTTTGTGACCCTGAGAAGCCATTTTCAAAGTGTTTATATGTCATTGTAGCCCAGGCACAAGATAGTTCAATTTCAAACATATTTAGAACAGTTCTTTGCATTTTAATATCCAAGTTCAGTCTGAGAACAAATGCAGTGTTACAGTTAAGTACTTAGGCTCTAATTCTGCCTTACACATCTTTGATAATTAACACCCTGGGAGTCTAATTTGATTTACTGAATTTCATTAAGGCTTGGAATATCGGGCAAGGCTGCCTGTTTATTATGTCTGTTTGCTGGTAGACATAACACAGTGATAGGCCTTTACAGAAAGGTAGCAGAACAGTGTTACATTATGAAGACCTAATCGTAGGATTATGCTGGGTGTAGTGCTCTGAAGTCTGCAGTGTCTGTGCTAAGCTACCTTGTGTGACAGGAGGGTGGTTTTTATGGGGGCTATTGTAGATACTTCTGGGGTTTTTGTGTGTGTTACGCTACATAGGACGTTATTTGGAAGTTTCTACATATGACATTACATATGAAAATAGTTTGGCAGCAATCTTGAAAGGTTTGGATTGGAAGGGACTTTAAGGATCATCTAGTACCAACCCCTCTGCCATGGGTAGGGACACCTTCCACTAGACCAGGTTGCTCCGAACCCGGCCTTGAACACTTCCAAGGATGGGGCATCCACAACTTCTTTGCACAGCCTGTGCCAGTCAGTGTCTCACCATCTTCATAGTGAAAGATTTCTTCCTTATGTCTAATCTAAATCTACCCTCTGTCAGCCTCAAGCCATTCTCCCTTGTTCTGCCTCTCCAGATTTCTTGTAGGCCCCTTTAGGTACTGAGAGACTCTTGTAAGGTCTCTCCAGAGCCTTCTTTTCTCCAGGCTGAACAAGCCCAGCTCTGTCAGCCTGTCTCCAGAGCAGAGCCTTCACAGCGTCTCCACAGCCTCCTCTGGACTCACTCAAGCAGATCCATGTCCCTCCTTTTGTTGGAGGCCCCAGAACTGTATGCAGAACTGCAGGTGGGGTCTCATGAGAATGGAGCAGAGGGGGAGAATCCCCTCCCGTGACCTCATCCCTCGAGGTCATGCTCCTTTTGATGCAGCCCAGCATACGGCTGGTTTCTGGGCTGCAAGTGTGTACTGAAGATGGCTCATACAGAGCTTCTCATCAATCAACACCTCCAAGTCCTTCTCAGGGTTACTCTTAATCTGTTCAGTGCCCAGCCTGTATTTGTGCTTGGGATTTAAGAATTACAATTAAAGATCATTAAATATATGTAAATAGGTTGCTTATTCCTAAATTTTATTTTCTTTTTCCCCATCCCAGAAAAGGAGCAAATAGATATCTGACTGTGAAGAAGAAGGATGGATCAGAACTAGCATATGCGGTAATGACTTGTGTCTTGGCTCCCAGTACGAAACATGCTGTTCGGAATTTAATTCAGAGATTTCCTGTCACAAATAAAGAACGAACAGAACTTCTGCCAAAGACTGAGCGAGGAAATGCGTGTGCTGTTGAATCTGGTATGTTCAGTGTGTCTTCCAATACGCACTTGTGAATCAGCACTGCATAAAAAAAAATCCAGCAACTCGCAACCCAACCACGAAACAACCCCCTTTTTTTCCTGCCTCTACCATCCCAACTGACACCCTCCCTAACAACAGACCCATTAATTTTCTTGACTTTCAATTGTTAATATAGGGTCTTTTAAAAGTGGTGTCATGAGGAACTTCAGCAGTCATGTCATCCACATTCCCATGTCTCCCCTGTGCAAAGTGACTTTTGAATCTTTAGGCCAGTTCCAAGCAAATTTATTTGGAAGTACATTTCTGAAATGTGAGGTCCTACAAGTTCCATGAGGTGAGATGAGAAAGAGGTGTTATCATGACTGTAAGAAAACCCTTACGAGAAAATAAGGCTGGCTGTTCTTAGAGAAATTAATGGTCTTGATAAGTTTAGTCTTTGTTTTGTCATCTTCTAAAATAGATTTGGTACCTCCAAAACTACTGTATAGACTTCTTGATTTCTACAGTATGAAAGAATTCAATGGAAGGCAAACTTCTGATATATTGTGGGGTTTTTTAAACAATGCTTCTAACAAGATTATTGCTGTAACAGTTATGAGTGTAAGAGTTATGTTGTGTTTCTGTACACAAAGCTTGGTGTAGTGCATGCAAAACACTTGTTTCACTGGATATTTCTGACTAACAGCATTTCATGCTTTAAGTGCTTCCTTTCCTAGTTTTCTTTTTCAATTGTTTCAGTTGTTTAATAGGATTATTTAATGAACAGAGCAAAACTATAATAAAAGCAATTCCTTAGGAATGTAAGGCCTAAGGTGATGAATATTGTAAAATTTATCTTTCTTCTCCAGAGTGGTTTTTGGCTCTTTCAATCTGTTGGCCTGTGTCTGTCTTGGAAAGACAGTGCTTATAGTTTAATATATTAATCTGCTAATCCCATTAAATATGTGTAATTAAATTTACACCAAGCTCTTCATTCTTCTGGGAAAATAATTATTGAAGAATTATAGAATAGCGTTTACGGTACTGAGTTTGAAATAGTCTCCTACAAAGACATGCAGGTACTTTGGCTACTTAAGCATTGCTTTCTAATATATGACAGTGTGCTGCATGGGTTCAGGGGTCTAAGTACAGCGTGGTTCAATTTGTATGTTAACACAGATCTCATGGACCAGAGCATTAGGTTATGTAAGACTGACTGAAAGGAGATCATAAAAGACCAGGGAGGATGTGAAAGAAGGCATATGAAAAAGAAGTTTTCTTTTTCTAAGAAAACATGCTTGTCAGTTTGGAATAACTTAAGGGCTTAACTGTACAGTGAATATTTCTAGGCACATTGTGGAGGTGTGAATGTGTAAACTTGATACAAAGTCCAGGAAAATATGCGAGGTTGCTTTTCTTAGGTTTAGTTTCTATTTCTATTTTTTGCTCTTCATGACCTTTTTTGACTTTGAGCAATGCACTGGCATAGTCTGGTTTTGTTCAAAATATCTATGAAAGTAAAAACTCCTTTGAACTCCTTTTTTTCAAGCACTGTAACAGAATGTATTGCTATGAATATGGCTTTTAAATGTGTGATGGGTTTGTCACGTCAGTAGGGATGCATATAAAGTCAGGAATATTCATTTTTATGTACTGTTTGAAAGCAGTGTTCTAGTGACCTTTTGTATCTAAGTAAATTGATAACTTCTCTTTACAGAAAACAGAGAAGTAAACAAGACAAGTGGACGACTTAACAATGGTATACCCCAGGTTCCAGTGAAAAGAGGGGAATCAGAGTTTGATTCCTTCAGGCAATCACTACCAGTTTTTGAAAAACAGGAAGAAATTGTCAAAATAATAAAGGACAATAAAGTTGTTTTGATTGTAGGAGAGACTGGATCAGGAAAAACTACTCAAGTATGTTTCTTTATTGAAATAAAAAAGATAATAGTATGTATACAAAACTAATGCAAATTCTGTAACATTTTTGTAATATGGAATTTCCTTATGCTAATTTTAAGGCTTTTGTTTTACTATGTAGTTGAAAGTCTTGTGTTCTAATTCACTATCTTGCTTTTGAAATACTATGCCAGCAGATGTGTACTAAAAGCATAAATAGTTCTGCACAATTTTCTTATAGATACTAGTTTTTCATTAAAATATTGAAGGAAAGGTAGCTATGATTTTCTGTAACCCTTTTCCTTCCAAAGCTGTTCTTCTGTTCATGTCTAGAATAGGATATTATTGTGTTAAAACCTTTTTTTTTTTTTTTTTTTTTTTTGTTTTTTAAACTGATTTTTCTGAAACAGGAGAGGGAAGCTCCAACTTTTGTAACTTTTCAACAGGTTAAACTTTAAATCAGAAATTTATTTTCATGTACATTTGCAATGATAATTCTATAGTGAATTCTTTTGCAACCTGTGTAATACTGAGATGCAGTTCAGTTGTTCCACTGTGGTAAACAAGCTGACTATCAAACTAAAAAGTAAATCTAAACCACTTCTTTACAGATACCTCAGTTCCTTCTTGATGACTGTTACAAAACTGGAACTCCTTGCCGTATATTTTGCACTCAGCCAAGACGTTTGGCAGCAGTTGCTGTGGCTGAAAGAGTGGCAGCAGAAAGAAGAGAAAAGATTGGCCAGACAATTGGTTATCAGATCCGATTAGAAAGCAGGTACTACTTCTTAAAGTCAATTGATCTTGTGTTGGTATCTTTAGTCTTGTATACATTTAAACCACAACTATATTTGGGATACAGCCTAGCACATAACGTGTAGGTAGGTATGTTACTTCAGGTCATGGAATATTTTAAGAGTGAAAAGGACAGTTTCTGCCCTGTATTTCGCAAGTTCATTTTCAGTATTCACTTTAAATAAGCGAATTTCAAGTGCTTTCTCTTGATTTCTTCTTGGGTGTTGTGTGGAATTCCGTATCTTATTTTCAGATCAAGTCTACACTTTCCTCTCTTTTTCTCCCAACTTTTAACATGTATTGATCCAGAAGTTCTGCAGGCTTTAAAGATGGATAGGAAGACCATCATGCTGTAACAAATGCTGTGTAGTGAAAGTTCATAGAGGACATAAAAGGGAAAAAAGCAACGTTTTGAAGTGTATGATGAAGTTGAGCATTATTTGCTAGTGCAATTTGGGTTAAATTTACTCTGTTTCAGCTTTTATGTTTAAAGCATGAAATGATAAAAAAGTAGAGACTTCTAAGTCACCTCAGGAATTTGTTCCTGAAGTAGAGCAGCAATGGGTGAAAGTCTGAAGGTTGTGTGCAGTTTCTACATTCTGTGAACTGTGAAGGTAGTGGGATTTCCAGGAATGGGCAGTAGTTAGCCTATGAGTGAGAAGAAGATGGCAAAAGGTATAGCGGTTGCTTATACGTATGAAGGTATTGCATAGCTAACGAAAATTAATGCACTTGAACAACAAAGCCAAGTTAAAGAAGAATTTGAATATGTGTACAAAAGCTTACAATGCTATTAAGGGATTAAAAGAACTGGTAAAGATGAATTGCACATAAGGTGGATGTGTGATATTACAAATAATTATGCTGCCTCAAGCAGAACAAAGTCTAGGTCAAATTAAAATGAAAGAATTACTGGAAGCAGTGCAGAAAATCCTGCTTAAGAAGAATCAACAGATTCAACTCATGAGAAAGATCAAAAAGGAGAGATGGCAATATTTTCAGCTCTGGGCAAAAAAGATGTGGTCTGGAGGTTTTTACAATGATTTCTAGAGGGCTAGTGAAGAAGAGAGAAGAGTAGAGATGGGTAAAGCAAAGCATTTCCATTTTGGATGTGTTCCTTGAATTTACCATTTGGGAGGATTTTTGAACAGAGGGATGAATTCCAAACTTGGAAACAAATATGCATATGATAACTAGGGAGCTCACGTCTGCCAGGAAAGAACTGTAGAGTACAAGACAGAGCAACTTGTTGGTACTGAAGGTGGCAGTGCTGGAGAAAGTAGTGGCAGTTGCTGGTTTTACTTGCACAGCTGACTTTGACACAGGTACTAGAATAGTAACTTTTTAAGATTTTGAAGTTCTTGAAAAATTAAAGCATTTGAAAAGGATCAGCTGATTTCTTTGTGATTCAGTCAAGTACAGTGACTCAGTCAAGTACAGTGTATTGGGTTTGCGTGACAAGGTTTTGGTAGCGGGGTGTCTACCTCTGAGAAGCTGCTAGAAGTTTCCCCCATGTCCAACAGAACCAGTGCCAGCCGGCTCCAAGGGGGACCCATCACTGGCCAAGGACAAGCCCATCAGTGACAGCGGTGGAACCTCTGGGATAATGTATTTGAGAAGGGGGGTGTGGGGGGAACCAAACAAAACTCGCACCACGAAAAAACCCAGCCAAACCATGCAATTGCAGCTGGAGAGAAGTGAGAATACATGGCAGAAACAGCCCTGCAGACAGTGCAGGAGGAGGGGAGGAGGTGCTCCAGGCACCAGAGCAGAGGTTCCCCTGCAGCCCATGGTGCAGCCCATTGTGAGGTAGGTTGTGCCCCTGCTGCACAGGGAGGTCCATGGTGGAGTAGATTCCACTTCAGCCCATGGAGGACCCCACACTAGAGCAGGGGGATGCCTGAAGGAGGCTTTTATCCCATGGGAAGCCTGTGCTGGTGCAGGGTCCTGATAGGACCTGTGGCACCATGGAAACAGGAGCCCGTGTCAGAGACCCTTGCTGCAGGACTTGTGATCCCGCAGGGATCCATGTTGGAGCAATTCCAGAAGAACTGCAGCACCGTGGAGTGACTCACGTTGGAGAAGTTCATAGAGGACTGCCTCAAGTGGGAGGGACCCCATGCTGGAGCAGGGGAAGAGTGTGAGGAGTTGTTGTGGTTTAATCCCAGGTTGCAACTAAATACCAAGCAGTCACTTAGTCCACCGATCCCACCCCAGGTGGGATGGGGAGAAGAATCAGGAGAAGGCAAAACCTAAGGGTTGAGATAAGAACTGTTTACTAATTGAAGTAATTATTAATAATAACAACAATAATAATAGGGAACAAAAAAGAGACTAAGAATAAAATTCACAAAAACCAAGTGATGCACAATACAATTGCTCAGCACCCACTGACTGATACCCAGCCCGACCCAAGCAGTGATCAAGTCCCTTCCAGGTAACTCCCCAGTTTATATACTGGGCATGACGTGCTGCTGTATGGAATACCCCTTTGGCTAGTTTGGGTCAGGCCAGGTGTCCTGTCTCTACTTCCTCCTGGCTTCCCATGCCCCTCCTCACTGGCAGAGCAAGAGAGACAGAAAAGTCCTTGATTGGGGTAGGTGCTACTGAGCAACAACTGAAACATCAGTGTGTTATCAGCATTGTTCTCAGACTGAAGCCAAAACACAGCACTGCACCAGCTACTAGGAAGAAAAATAATTATCACAGCTGGAATCCAGGACAGTCCTCCCCCTGAGGAGGAGCAAGTAGCAAAGACAGTGTGTGATGAACTGACTGCAAGCCCTTTCCTCCTGTGTCACTGTAGGGGAGGAGGTAGGGAATCTGGGAGTAAAGTTAAGCCCAGTAATTGATGAACAATCTCTCCCTGTTCTTATCTTGACCCACAAGCATTTCTTGTATTTTCTCTCCTCTGTCTAGTTTAGGAGGCGGAGTGATAGAGCAGTTTTGGTGGGCTCCTGGTGTGCAGCCAGGGTCAACCCACCACACAGAGGCAAATACAAAAGACTGTATGCAAGCATATGCTGAAGAATTGGAATTTGTTTGTCCAATGCAGTCCATACTGAATTTTCCAGTAAATTAAACAATGTGGAGAGGTTCTCAAGGTTCTGTTTCACTTGCTTATTTATTTCTATAAGTTTGAATCTCACTTTGTTAGTAAATCCGAAGTTTTGGAGCATAAGCATCAAGGTTCCTTAGGAACTCTCTGGAAATAGGCATAGTTTAAAAACAAATAGTATGCATGAATTTTTTGGTGAGAGAACTCTAATTCTACTTCTGGTGAGCAGCTATTAAATCCTTTAATTTTCAGTAAGTGGTGGAAAGCTAGCCACATTTAAATGGTGCAGGAAACTGAAGAGTCTTTATGAACTGTTCAATAGGGTTTCTCCAAAGACACTGTTAACATTTTGCACTAATGGCATACTACTTCGCACACTGATGGCAGGAGACAGCACTTTATCAACTGTGACGCATGTTATCGTGGTAAGAATCCTGTTGTATTTCATGTGAGCTCTTGCAGTATGTGTTACTTGTTAATTGGAAAGTGAGACCTTAGTTTTCTTTATTAATTTGCTGAGCATATAAGGTGGTTTTGTTTGGTTAGAATCTGAATTAACATTGGAGCCTTACTGACATACATTTTTGATTTTTTAAATTTGGGGGGGGGGGGGGGGATGATTTTAAGTCCATGCCAGTAATTAATTTTGGAATCATGATGCAGTTTTGGAGGACAGAGCTCTTTAAGTTTTTTCTGAACTGCCTCTGTCAGAAAGCAGAAAAGCCCTACAGAGGCTGATACAGTTTAATGTGTGTCAGAATTTCGTGTATTGTGTACTTGTTTTGGCAATATCAGGTTGGCAGTCTGTTTGCCCAAATGTTTTAAAGATAATGAGTTATCTAATTTTGAGCAAATTATTTAACTGTATTTACTTATGGTTATGCAAATATTTCTATTGTGGGGTTTCATAAGTCAGTGGAACCAGAATGTTTACCACAAGTTCTTCCCTGCTGAAGACAGAAAAATTCATAATTTTAGGTGCTTGTCTGTTAAACTAAATGGAAAAAAGCATGAGAATGATTTATACATTATTGGCTAAAGCCTAAAATGTTGTGCTAGTGTCCCTGCCTTGTAAATTCATGATATAAACCAAAAGAACACAACAGCAAAGATGATTAATGAGGCATGTGCCTTAATTGATGATAAGCTTTGTGCATGACTTAATGGATTAAAGCAATTTAACTTTTTTCTGATTATGTGGTATCATACATTTCTTTAACTGTTTATCAATTATGAAGTGAGAATTTATTAAAATAAGATGTGCAGGATTTTCAAGATAAGTCATTATCTTGAAAATGAGATTAAAATATAAGAATTAGAAAAGTTTCAGAAATTCACTTCAACCTCTGAAATCAAGTTATGTGTGACTTGTGCTTTACCAGTGCAGTCTGCTCTGGTGTCTTTATAAAACCTCTTGAAATACTTTTTTACTTCTGGATAGTTTTTTAAAGAATTCTTACTTAAACTAGACTTACACATTTTGATGCATCTGTAATGTACTGGAAAATTACGTATTTTAGTTTTTTAAAAAAGTATATTTGTAAGAAGTTATTATTTTGGATCTGTGATGTTTATCTCCTGTTTGTTTTTCGTTTTCTGTTTTATTTTCCCCTTTTGTTATAGGACGAAGTACATGAGAGGGATAGGTTCAGCGACTTCTTGTTAATAAAACTGAGAGATGTGTTGCAAAAGCATACTAATTTAAAACTAATTATTTCTAGTGCTGCTTTAGATGCAAATCTCTTTATTAGGTATTTCGGAAGTTGTCCAGTAATACACAGTAAGTATTCTTGTACACTCTTAAATCTGAGTATCTGGGTTGGTTTTTTTTTTTCCCCCTCATCTTCACCCTCCTGGCTTACAAATTTTCTGCGTGGTTGACCTCCTCTGGCACCTTGCAGTCCTCTTCTTTTCCAACAGTGATGTCAAAGTATTAACTGTTTTGAAGAGAAAGTTTTAAGAGAAATACTTTCTTTTCAAAACAGTCAAGTAGGCTGTTTGCACGTCAGCCTTTTTTAAGAAGTTCATCAGTCTCAGGACATTGGTAGGATCACTTTCTTTAGAATTTTCTCTACAAACGATATGTTTATTTTAGTGAATGTTCCTGAAAAAAAAGTCTGATGGTTTTTTTTCAGATTAAAGTGTTTATTTCTAGTTCCCAGTTCCAAATTTCTGCCTAGTATAATAAGGCTTGTAGACTGTTGGAGGCAAGAATCTGGAAATTACACGATTTCAGTGTTTTCCAAATTTTTCTTTGGAAACGGGAAATCTCAGTTATAATTGTTGTGCGGCTTTCCAGTTTACTGTTTTCGTAGCTTCCTGTTCATTTGTTCATATGTTTATTCAGGAAATGCTCATGACAATCTCTTCAGTTTACCTGAGTGGTTATATTGTTATCACGTACTAGTCTTCACAGGCTGATCACAGCTGAAAAGATACTTCTGCCTTTCCAATTTTGAGAATTAAGAAGTAGAAGAGGGTTTAGATACTTTGTTAATGTAATGAAAAATATTTGGTCCTCCTTCAACAACATAGCTGACAAAATCCTGACCACAGAAACCAACATTTTATAGTTGTGGTTTCTTGTGGTACTCAGAGTTTGTGATCAGTGTTAGAAGACTTCCTCTCTGACAGCTCCCAAAAGTATGTAAATTGTAGCTTGTTCTTTCTGAAAAAGAAAAAAGTTCTGGGTGGTTTAAACTCAGCTATGGCAAATGTTTGCTAATGGACAACAAATCAGAATCTAGAGATTTTAATTCTTCCTGTGAAAAAGAATCCTTTAATGTCTATAAATAAGCCTAGAAAAAAGTGATATTGCAAAAGAAATCAGGGTGAATTATTAAAGATAAATACCACTGGAATGTCTCATTCATCAGGAATTATTTAGTCAAGAACAGCAATTTTGGCTGAGATGATTGAGGAAACTGAGAGAAGTCTCATCTCCTCATATACTCCTCATGAAATAGTTTAATACAAAGGTGCCAGTCTGCCTGTGGGATCTTACATTAGAGCTATATTAATTACTGATACATTTTGTAATGCAGGTGGCAGTTTTACACAGTGAAATCCTTTTTGTAACCCTAAACAAAAATGGTTATTTTCTTTTTCTCATTTTGATAAAATGTCTATTAGTAACTGTCAATCTTACAAGCATTTCTTGCTGTAATGCTTTATAGAATTGAAGAGGTCAGTGATAAACAATGTACCCAGCTGGTGTTTCTCTTTTAAAATGTTGTTTTGTTTTGTGGCCCAGAATTTTAAGAAAATAAAATCAAGTGAAGATACTCTTACAAGACATTTATTAATACTGGATGAATTATTTATACTTTCAGTACAAGGAAGACCTTTTGAAGTTAAAGAGATGTTTTTGGAGGACATTTTACGAAGCACTGGGTATACAAACAAAGAGATGGTAAAGTACAGAAAAGAGAAGCAGCGAGGTTGGTGGACTTCTTAATTATTAGGTTTGGCAGTGAGTCTCACTGACGGATTGAACAAATAAATAGGATTATTCTCTGTTAAGATTCCATGGTCAAGATATTAAGTGAGACATGGTTAGATGATAGCAAGTATCTTTAAGTTCTCAGTGTCTACATTGTTGAAGTAGATTACGTAACTTAAAAAAGAAAATTTTTCACTCTCTTTCAGTGGTTACATTCTGTTTGCTTTCAGTTGATAAATGTTATGTTTTTTCTCATTAGCAAGGAGTTGAATTGCATATAACTGGGGACTTTGCCCAGATGAAAACTGTAGAAGCAGAAGATATTATGTGCTGACTTCTGGGTGAAAATTGGAGTGCAGCCATTAAAGAGGGCATGATTTTGTATGTCTTGCGCAGATGTGGCTCTCATGAGGAACATTTTCACTGCATTCTTGAGATATGGATGTATTCAATATGTATCCCCAAAAGCATTAACACACTTGAATTTAACATGATTGATTTTCAGTTGGTTAAATATATATATTATTTGAGGCACTTTCCTGATAAGTGTCTCAAATAATATACCTTATAGTTATATATGTTATATATACCTTATAGTTCTATACCTTATAGTTGTAACTGTATATACCTTATAGTTCTAACTGTGTGTTTATCGTGGTGCTCAACTCTGATAACTGTGTATAGAAAAATTCAGTTAAGGCACACTGGTGTCTTCTACTGTTTCTTCTACTTGTACACAGAAATCAGTTGTTTCATGCAGGAGCTATGTCACTTCTCTTTGGTATTTTACTTCTGGAGAAAGATCTGTACTGAGAATGGCATAGAAGATACTTACTTAGGAAGCTTATTTGAATGCACTAAATTGGAATACTGGGGACTTAAGGGTTAAGCACACAAATAGTACTTTTTGCCCTGTTCATATAGGAGACGTTTGCAATGGTGCACTTAGGTGCCATTAATCATGGAATTTACATTGGACTAATAACAGAATTCTAGATTAAATAAAAGGAGATTGAATAGGTTAACTTTGTGACTTGATGTGTTTCTTGTAACTGAAAACAACGGATAATAAAAATGACTAAAACTTTTTTTTTTTTTTTTTAAAAAAACCCACCAAAACTTTATGTGTTCTAGAGGAGAAACAGCAAAGCAGTCTTACTGAGTGGTGTTCTGCTCACGAAAATAATAGCAAACTGGAATCTCAAAGACAAAGATCTATCCCAAGTCCAACTGAGGAGTATAATCTGTTGGATGATGGTGGTGACACAGTATTTAATCAACTGGTAAGTTTTTCCTTTTGTTGGAAGAGATATTTAAATCTGCATTGTATTATTACTACCCATATAAAAACTGTTTTCTAAAAATGTTATTTCTTTAGTGTGTCTAGAAGGATATTAACGTATTTTAAAACTTTTTTTTTTCTTAAGTAGCATGAATGGTCCTAGCTAAAGTGTGCTTTAAAGTTATGATGGTTGCACATAGCTTTTGTTCAGATCAAATGGCTAGACTGCCATTGTTTATAGTACTTGCATATGATACAATAAATGCTGTCATTGATATTCAGTGCTGTATTTCTGGTTGTTACTTTGAAAACTCACTTCAAATTCTTTGTGCCTAATATGTGAGGATAAAGACCACTCTTGGAAGGGATTCATCTTTCAATGTAGTTTTTTTTCTTCAGACTGAAAAAGATGTGAATTGCCTTGAACCATGGCTAATAAAAGAAATGGACTCATGTCTTTCTGATATCTGGTTGAATAAAGATGTTGATTCCTTTGCTCAGGTGTTCCACCTCATTTTAACTGAAAATATCAGTGGTAAGTTTTTCACCTTACTGCGTTAAAAAACAAAACAAAACCCCACAAAATGGCTTGTATTTCTGTGACTACTCTGTTTCCAATTTCAAATATTGTTATCTTTGAATTCTGATGTGTATTGAAAAAAATGAATAGGATTAGCAACATTAACGAGGTTTGTAGATACTTGTTGTTTTGCAGTATTGACATGTTTCTAAAATAGTGTTAAATTCACGTGAACTGACTGGTGGGATAAAATGAGGAACATTTTCTTTGGGGTGGATTTTGAAAGTCATTTTTATACTACCTTTAGCTTTAAAAATAAATGTTTGTATTAGGTTTGCTGATGTTTGTTGTACTTCTCAGTTGATTATAGGCACAGTGAAACCAGCGCAACCGCACTAATGATTGCCTCAGGCAGAGGCTTTCTGAGTCAAGTAGAACAACTAATAAGTATGGGAGCAAGTATCCACTGCAAATCATCCAATGGCTGGTAAAACAAACAGATAAACTGAAAGATAGATTTATTTGTCAAGATACAAAGGAGAAACAACTTTCTATAACATCTAATCTAAATTTCTAATTTATCTGACTTTTGTAAGCACTAATACGTTTTGACAGTCTTAAACAATTTCTAACTTCTCTTTATCACGTTGTTTTCTGTAAATGCTAAACAGTCTCAAAATGGGATATACTCTCTTGCTTTCAGTGAGTCTGATTTGAGGCACTGGTTAGAAGAAAAATTGGAATTTTTCTCACTGTATTGATTAAATACAGTATTGATTAAATTAGATCCAAAATGTTTGGCAATTTTATTTTAAGGGAGTAACCCATATTGGATTTAAAAATATGGTATTACATGTGCAAAGATCTTTGCTATGTTATATCTGTAAATACGTTGTGTCATGTAAAAAATATTTGTGAATTTGTAAAAATTCAGATTATTATGTCTTCATATAAACAGGGAACTATACTAAATAATTGTAATATGGAAAGATAAGAATTAGGATTCCAGAAGTATATTTGAAAAATTTGCTGAAGAATGTAGTTTAAAAGGAAAACAGAATGAACTGCATTGTGAGGAGGATGACTCTAAGCCACCAAAAAGCCTAATCTGACTTCTCAGGTTGATTTAAAGGGTACTGCAAAAAGGCATGGCTCATCCTGGCGCATTGGTGTATGTTTTTTGAAGGAATGGCACATTCTTCCTCCTCACTTCTTTCTGCATCTTTGGGGGTACTTCTGTATAAAACCGGGATTCTTTTCTTTTTTTTGGTTACCTAAAATCCTGCTACTATTACAGCTGTTTATGCACTTGAAAGTGGGAAGTTGCAGATCCAGCAGTAACAACACTGATTAAACAGTAATGTGGAAACTGATAGGAAAGTGCAGAATCAGTTGTCTCCTGATGTAATGTGCTATTCTCATGCATCTTTTGAAGTGAGAAATTAAAGCAGATTTTTATTTTGAAGTGAGAAATTAATACAGATTTTTACACAACTCTTTTCAGGATGGCTTTGGACTGGGCTAAACGATTTGGGCAGACAGAGGTGGTTGACCTTTTAGAGTCCTACAGGTAAGCTATAAATAGTTTGCAGAAGCAGCTAAAAATACCAGTTTAGTCATCTTAAGTTAGGTTTTATTTTCTTTGAGTCAGAACATATTTTACCTTTTTATGCTTTAAAATCTGGCCTAAATAGCAAGATCTGTTTGAGAATAGGAATATTTTGAAAACATAGTTATTTAAGAAAAAGTTTGTTTGTATTCAGTATCATAGTGATTATGTTTGCACAACTCCTTGGATAAATATAGTTCTAGTGGTGTAGAATTTCTTTGATACTATTAGCACTTATCACCTTAATATGGATTTTCCTCTCATGGTTATATATCTAGGCGGGATGTGATTATCGTAACTGAAATAAATATATAGAGGACATGCCAATTCCATATCATATATCATTTTAAATTCAGATGCTTGTTCTGGAAATAAATCTGTTGTGTATTGTTGAAACATGATAGAATATTCAAGAAACTTTACATGAGTAGCTTGTACATTAGGCCATTCAAGAATTGTTTTTCGATTAACTTACAGATGTAGTAGTTACAGTGTGTAGAGACCTGCATTATTATAATTCCTCTTAGTGTAATTTATGGTTTATGTTAGTGTAATACCTGCTTAACTGCTATGGTAGGGAAGTTTTTGGAAAATACATTTCTTTTGAATATTTTTCCTTTAAAACATAAACACATGGTGTTTATACTTTCAGTCCTGTCACATTTGCGTATGGTTGCGTTCAAATGAAGTATAATAAAGTTAATGCTAAAAATTGAAGTTGCATGCTTTGCTAAGTTAACACTTAAGTTAGTGAATGGTAATAGTTTTGTGGAGATGCTGTTCTGCTACACTTTAAAATTAAAATTCAAGATGAGTAGCCTTGTTGATCTAAATTTGAGTTGATGGCTGAATGCAAACCTGAAGCAAACAACCTTGACTCTGGCCTATGTGTTTGTGTATTTTAGTGCTTCAGTGGAATCTGGAAATCTGGATGAAAGTTTCCTGGTCCAAACAAGTGGTAGTGACCTTAATGCAGAGGACAGAGAACTGCTGAAAGCTTATCATCACAGTTTTGATGATGAAAAAGTGGATCTGGACCTGATTATGCACTTACTTTATAACATCTGTAGTAGTTGTGACGCTGGTACGTATATACACACACTCCCCATAAATTACTGTGGATTCAGCTTCTGATGAATTGTGCTCTTTTTTCAGTAACTCCAAATAGAAAAAACCTTCCAAGTGCCTAGTATGCGTAGTACTGACGTATAGTAACTCTGCATACCAACTTCTTTTTTAGGAGCGATTTTAATATTTCTTCCTGGATACGATGAGATAGTTAGCCTGAGGGACCGTATTCTTTTTGATGACAAGAGATTTGCTGATAATGCTCACAGGTAGAACCTCTAGTTTTATGGTTGTCTTGAGTTTTTACTGTTTCTTGTAAAAATCCTTAAAATGTGTTCTTTGTCTTGCATTAGATACCAAGTTTTCATGCTTCATTCAAACATGCAGACTTTGGATCAGAAGAAGGTGCTTAAAAGTCCACCTTCTGGCATCCGCAAAATAGCAAGTATCTGAGGACTTTGTCAGATATTATGTTGATCTATTTTGTCTTCGCTTTTACAGCTACTATAGACTTTTTTTTTTTTTTTTTTAATTACAGATTCTTTCCACTAATATTGCAGAAACCAGCATAACCGTCAATGATGTTGTATTCGTTATTGACTCAGGCAAGGTGAAAGAGGTATGATTGTCTTAAACTTTTTTGGCGAAGTCAATTTCCTAGTGTTATCTTAAAATACATAATGCATAAATTTTGGGGAACTATGTAGTAGGCTGAGAGGTAGTGCATGTCAGATGACAGAACCCATTGAGGTTTTGCCATCCACTTGTTTTATTACCAATACTGTAAATAGCTACCTGTTTAAAAACCTGTAAAAGCTATTGCAGGTTGAAATATCTATATGTTTTTATATATAGATATATAAATATAGTATTTCTGGCATTATTTTTTTTTGTTATAACAAGTTTAGACCACCATCTTCCGGAGACTTGGACAACACTGGGATTTCCCTTTGTCCTTTTACTGTATCTAGCCCAAATCTAATCCATTAAGTTTTTAAGCATTGTTTTTGATATGTTAAATGCCTATTCCCTAATTAAATGTTCAAGAAAAATGAGATAGCATAGTGAGGCAGTTTAAGACCTTGTATATGAGTTAGAAAATAAAACCAGATTTCATAGGAGACACTCAAACCAGATTTCTGAAGTTCTAATTGGTAATAAATTTTTTTGTAATTTTTCATCAAATGTAGGAAAATAAGGGTGTAATTTTCAAGTCAGACAAAGAGGAAAACTTTATTTAATATGATACTGTGGTTTTGCTTGGTTTGTGATACCACAAAACATAACCCATGTCTTTTGTTGACTTACAGTTGCCTATTGACCAGAAATCTCTAATTTAGAAAACCACGTAGCACAAAGATACTGCGGAGGAAGCATAAATTCACTTGAAACCAAGTACTTTAGAACATACCTTTGTGCCAGAAGCTCATGGTTCTTAGTATTATTTTTATTTAGAGAACTTCTGTTGATGATCTAAATAATTTATTTCATGTACCCTAGTCAATCTTGGTTTTATGTTCCTTGCTTTGCTTTTATAGAAGTCTTTTGATGCACTGAGCTGTGTTACAATGCTGAAAATGGTGTGGATTTCAAAGGCCAGTGCTATCCAGAGAAAAGGCAGGTAATAAATGCTTCATACTGAATTTTATTTTGCAAATATTCACCATTCTGTATGTTAAGAATAAGATACACAATGTAATAGAAATTGGGTAATGTTAACCTAGTCGAGTATTGTGTTGGATAATGGCCGATGCTGATTTTCTGCAGAAGAGTGAGGGTCAGTATGTGTTTCCTTGGAGTAATTTACCAAACTGTAGAAAAGTGACACTCAAGGATTTCCCAAAGCTTACATAAGCTCTAAATTGTTTTTCCCTCATGAACTTGTTCTCCTTCCTCTTTCTAGCATCTAGCACCCTCAGCCACAGTGTCCAATAAGGTGTTTCACAACTTACCTGTGGGCAAAGGTCTGCCTATTTTAATTGATGTCCCTCATTTGATGTCCCTTTAATTGATGTCCCTTCATCGCTATGTTAGAGACATCATGATTTAACAGGCTTTTATCATATTCCTTCCCAAGACTGCATGAGGGCTGAGGGGTTACTTACCAACAAATGCTATATTGGCATTAAGCTGCAGGAAATTGAACGTAAATGGGAGCATTTGCTGTCTCTGTCCCTTCATTCACAAGTTGTTTGGTCTTCATTCTTCCTTTTACTACTTTAACTTCCAACGTTAGAGCCATGTGAAGAGGAAGAAATTAAACTTATTAGTTATATTCCTTATAGCAAAGGACAGTTGAGATTTGGATTGATTTTAGGTTAACAAAAATCCCACGTCACTTTATTTTTAGATAGATCTTACTTTCATTTCTCCAGATCTTTCAGTATTGGGGCAAAATTATGATGGAGATACATATATATTTCAATATACTGTCAGAAATTATCCGTGTACTGCAAGACTCTCACCTCATATGTGGGACTTAATGACAAAATTATCTGTTTCTTAGACCTGCTTCTACACTTGCATTCTAAGCTTGTGGATGTGGGGGGGTGGGTTTTGTTTTTTTTTTTTGTTTTGGTTTGGTTTTGGGTGGGTTTTTTTTTTTTCTGATTTTCAACAACTTCCTATATTTCATTTTCAAGGGCTGGGCGCTGTCAGCCTGGAGTCTGTTTTCGTCTCTTCAGCAGGCTTCGATTTCAGAGTATGTTGGAATTTCAGACTCCAGAACTTCTAAGAATGCCACTTCAGGTGCATGTTCAGTTACAGATTATAACTTAAAAACTGTATTATCATCAAACCATACTATTAACTCAGAAAAAGTGTTTGTCTTTGAGTGTGTGTGTGTTTGGTTTTTGTTTTGGTTTAGTTTGGTTTTTTTTCTCTCTCCCAATCTTAACAATATTTTTTTTTTTTTTTTTTTTTTTTACTTTTTAACTTGTAGGAGCTATGTTTACACACAAAACTTCTGGCTCCAATTAATTGTCCAATTGTTGACTTTCTTATGAAAGCTCCTGATCCTCCACCAGCTTTAATTGTGAGAAATGCTGTGCAAATACTGAAGGTCAGCAGAATAATAGTTTTAGATGGGAATTGTATTTGATTTTGTATTTGTGGTGCGGCAACATATCTTACTGAGTTTTGTTTGTACTGAGACTGTTGTGTAAACACTTAAGGATGCTCTGAGTCTTTGTGTTGTCTATTTTAATTTTACGCATTTGGATGTATTTTTCTGTTAAGGGAAGAGAGTGCTTAAAAATCTTGCCTCAAACTGCTAAGAGTTTGACTTACTTTCTTAGCTAATTTCCAGTTTCCACACACTTTGTGTTTATTGTAAATTTTGTCCGCTTCTCCCCTCTCCCCCGCCCCCTTTTTTTTTTTTTTTTTTAATTACACAGACAATAGATGCCATGGACCCTTGGGAAGATCTCACTGAACTTGGCTATCATCTCACTGAATTACCAGTAGAGCCACACCTTGGTAAAATGGTGTTATGTGCTGTTATTTTGAAGTGCCTGGATCCTATTCTTACTATTGCTTGCACTCTTGCATATCGAGACCCTTTTGTCCTACCCGCACTGGCTTCTCAAAAGCGTGCAGCCATGCTGTGTAGAAAACGTTTTACTGCAGGAACGTTTAGTGACCATATGGCGCTTCTCAGGGCTTTTCAGGTATTATTTCATCTTCAAAAAGAGTACTAATCACAGTAGATCACATATCAATGTAAATGATGTACCAGTGAAGTTGCATGTAGAATGATTGATTATTATTAAGTGTATAGAGAAGAAACTTTATTTTTGCCTAGTGGCTTTCCTGTGTATTGGACTCATAAATTAGTGAGGGAACACTTTTTATCAGATTTTTTGTTTGTATTTCCAAACCTGGTTAAATTCTAAATGTTGCAACAAGTTACTGCTTTATATCCTGCTACAATGACTGATAACTTAAAATAATTATCTTTAATGTAATGATCGTTATGTTAATTTGAGGAATGGGTAAAGAGAACATAGTACTGAACCAGAAAAAAAAAATCTGGTTTGATAAACTTTCTTTCTTTCTGATTAGTTTTGTCTTCATTTTATTGATGTAAATTTCTTCTTTTTCTGACGTGCCTTTTTTTTTAGCTGATTAAATTAATAGGCAAATGTAAAATATTCTTTACAGGCATGGCAGAAGGCGCGCAGTGATGGCTGGGAGAGAGCCTTCTGTGAAAAGAACTTCTTGTCTCAAGCCACGATGGAAATCATTGTAGGAATGAGAACCCAGTTGCTTGGCCAGCTTAGAGCCTCAGGTAAATGGGGTTGAAAAAAATTACATATTAATGCTGGGCACAGTGCAGATGCTAGAGTGAGGAGGTGTGGCTGGGGAACAGCTGATCTAATTGGAAGTGCTCTGATTGTTCCACATGCCACTGGCTTTCATTGTGAGATATGTTTCCTTGGATTTTTACATTCTAATATGTTATTTCCATAGGAAATGTCTTTGTGTTGTAAAAAGTGGTTGTATTTTATGTTAGTATAAAACCCCTTACCACAAAGCATTTCAGTATAATGATTTCTTCTTGGTGCTGTAAAGTCAACAAATTTGTAGGGTTTTTTGTTTTGGTTTAGTTTTCTTCACTTCAAATTTCTTTTGAGAAGCAAAAAAGAAAGATCTTAAATACAAGCAAACAAATTTGTGTTCTCTTCTTTCTTCAGGTTTTGTTAGAGCCAGGGGAGGAGCTGATATCAGAGATGTTAATACTAACTCTGAAAATTGGGCTGTAGTTAAAGCTGCCTTAGTGGCTGGGATGTATCCCAATCTAGTTCATGTAGACAGAGAAAGCCTGATTTTGACTGGACCAAAGGAGAAGAAAGTGCGATTTCATCCTACATCTGTTCTTAGTCAACCTCAGTATAAAAAGGTAAAATCAGTTTGAATTTGTAGTTCACAAAAAAGAGTACTGTACACTACTGAACGTTTTAGAAATGCCTCTTCATAGTTGTCAGTACTTTAAAAGCAGCATGTGCATTAAACACTACATTTTTAAGAAATGTTTTTCCTGGCAGTTGATAAAATAAAGAATTGGAGTTGGTTTATTTTTCCAGTATTTCATCAAAATGTATTTTGTTGCTCTAGATGGAATGAGACGATAGTAAAATAAAAAAAAATAATTGCGAAACTTTCAAAGATGTAAGCAGTCGCTGCTCATAGTAGCCGGAATAAGTTCTCCTCTGAAACAGATTTATTTTAGATCCTTTTTTAACGCAAAATGTTTTATTTCAATGAAGAAGAGTAATTTGTGAGTCTGGTTGAATTCTCTCTCACCTTTTTTTATCTGTATAAGATTATGTGCATATAAATATGTATTTCTACATGTATAAAATATGAAATATGTTAAATATTTATTTTAATTGCAAACAGATGGTACAGTAATGTAGTCTTATTTGCTCTTGCACAGATTCCCCCTGCAAATGGGCAAGCTGCAGCCATTCAGGCACTCCCTACAGACTGGCTTATATTTGATGAAATGACGAGAGCTCATAGGATAGCAAATATCAGATGCTGTTCTGTTGTAACACCTGTCACTGTGTTACTCTTCTGTGGACCAGCTAGATTGCCAAGTAATGCTTTGCAGGAACCTTCGTCTTTTCAAGGTATAGTGGAGTTTGGATTTGAAGTGTTTCATTTGGTATATACTACCATGTGATATGGAAGGCTTATTTTTCAAGAATATTTAATACATATTCTTAAACTCTTATATTCTTAAATTCTTAAATATTCTTGCAAATTCTTAAAATGACAGAGCTATAGTTCCTGTAGCTGTGCAAGAATAGTTTATAAGTTCTGTGATAGATGTCTTAGTTTTGTGAATCCTCATAGGTTCATATCCGTAAATTACACTTACACAGCTCTGGAGTTTCTGAAATTACAGTACAGTTTGTAGTGGAATAAAAAATGGAAACAAAATGTTTAATGACAAAACTAATGCTGGAAAGTGTGGTATGTATGGGTTTTTCTACAGACTAGTTTATTTGATACTTTGGACCAGATTCTTCAAACTGAATAATAATGTGTAAACTATCAATATGCTAAATAGTCATATTGCTTCAAGCAGAAACATGCATTTTAAAGATAATTTTCTAATGGTAATTTTTAATGACAACTAGCTATATTATTAACTAGAAATAATAGGGAATATATAGAAACTGCCTTTGTTTAAATTTAAATAGAGTGCTGTAGGAATAGAAGCAAAAACAATCCATGCTGCTGCAGTTGTCTAGAAATAGTAATTTGAATCAAAGTAAGAGTCCAAGTTATTTTTGAAGCTTTCCTGTCTTGCTCTTAAACTGTTACCCTTAAAATAGTGTTTATATTGATTGAAGTACACATTAAAAAAATTACAATCCTAGTAATAAGCCATATGTTTATGTAATTTATATTTTCTTAATGGGTCTTTAAATCTGCTGTTTTTCTAGGAAATAAAGCATAATGTATGGTTTTGTAAACAGCTTCAGGCAGAAGTTTGATAATGGCTTGTTGATACTGATGAAGTTACATGAGTGGTTAGATCATATCAATACAGGTGCTTAGGTAGCAGGGCCCTCAGCAGGGCTCAAATCTGCTATCTATCTGAAGCAAAGACTTCGCTGGGGTGTATTTGCAGAAAATAAAAAGTGGCTTTACATATATTTACATTTTTAAATAAAATTTAGAAGGAAAATGGGTTTATTGCTGATAATACAGTAGTGTTCAGGTTTTTGTATGTAGTTGGAGATAATACAGAAATGTTAATGAACCTTTTATACTTTATTCAGGGGATGGGTTATCTAATGATAACAGTGATAGTGAAGTAGAGGACAAAACAACTGCTAATTTGGCACTACTGAAACTAGATGAATGGCTGCACTTCAGACTGGACCCTGAAGTAAGTAATGTATCACTTCAATGCTTGTTTCTTTTAGTAAGATATTTATATCATATCTTCCTAAAAAAAAAAAAAAAAAACCAAAAAAAAACCCAACTGAAATATTTAGGTAACCAAGAATTTTCTGTTAGAGTGCCTGTCACAGACCGTTTGGGTGTCAGATTTATGGAACAACATACTCTGAGGCTTAACCTTTATTTCATGAGCTCATTAAGAAATACAATGGGCAAACAGGAACTCAGTCCCCTTTTGCACAGACTAGTCTATCTTTCTCCGTCATGGTGCAGTCATCCCCTGTATCACACTGGGAAGCAGGAAGACCTCATTAGTCCAGCTGCTGTTGGATCCACATCAAAAGTTTTTTGAGTAAGTGTCCTGGCTTCAGCTACAGCAGTCATTTTTTTCTCCCTCTTAGTAGCTGGTGCAGTGCTGTGGTTTTGACTTTCAGCCTGGGAACAACCCTGATAACACCGATGTTTCTAATTGTTGCTAAGTAATGTTTACTCCGACCAAGGACTTTCTCAGTCTCATGCTCTGCCAGGGAGGAGGGGAAGCCAGGAGGAAACAGAGACAGGACACCTGATCCCAACTAGCCAAAGGGGTATTCCGTACCATAGCACGTCATACCCAGTATATAAAGTGGGGGGAGTTACCCGGAAGGCCCAGATCGCTGCTCGGGTCGGGCTGGGTATCAGTCGGTGGGTGGTGAGCGGTTGTGTCCTCTCCCCTTGTTATTCCTCTTATCATTATTATTGGTAGCAGTAGCGGTTTGTATTATACCTTAGTTACCGGAGTGCTGTTATCTCAACCCGTGGGCTTTACATTCCTCCAGTTCTCCTCCCCATCCCTCCCTTTACATTCCTCCAGTTCTCCTCCCCATCCCTCCTGGACTGGGGGGAGGAAGGAGGGAGAGAGTGAGCGGGTGGCTGCATGGTTCTGTGTTACCAGCTGGGCTTAAACCACGACAGTTCTTTGTAGTGCCCAATGTGGGTCACGAAGGGTTGAGATAACGACAGATCTGACCAGAGTGTTTCTAATCGTATTTGTGATAAGCATTCATTGTTTAATTCATTGCCTAAATTGTGACAGTAAGCTAATACTTTATACCTTCCAGCTTAGAGGTTTGGTCCATTTCCATAAGTTAGCAAATTCTGATGAAACTGTCATTCAAAGATAGTGGCTGCAGGAGACAATAAGCTGCAAGTGATAGAGGCTGCACAATGGCCCTTTAGCTCTTTCTGCCATCTGTCCTGCCTCTGTATTGCACTTTGACCTAATGGAACTGCTCCCAGCACACACTAAGCCTTAGCATGAGCTGTATTTGCCAAAATGTGAACAGGAATTGAGTGAACAGTCACGATATTTCCTTCTCTGAAAGGATGACAAGTTGGAGCTCTTGAAGTTGGAGTCACTGAAAAAAAGTTACTGTCAGATTTTATAAAAAGAAAAAAAAAAGACAAACCCCACTTTGAAGTCTTCAGGTCATTGAGAAGCTCTGACTGTGGTAGGAGGTAGAGTAGTTTATGGGTTATGAAATACTTGGACTTTTCAGATGTAATAATAAAACTGTCTCTACTAGAGACATTTAGAAGTGTGATTATTTAAATTGAAACATTTCTGATAACGCGAGATTAGATTATAGTCTTCTAAATCAAGTCAACTCATTTGAACAGTAGTCTGTAATAAAAACTTGTCACTTGGAGGTCTTTCTGTTCAGGTATGAACAAGGAGTGCAAGGATACAGACCAAATCGAGAGGAAGGGCATAAAGCATTAAAAGATTTTTTTTATTTTTTTTTTATTTTTTTTT